ATATACTGCTACCCAGAGGGCTGGTGGTTCAAACCCACCAGCCACTCCTCAGAAGGAAGGTTGGGCAATCTACTTCCATAGTGATACTGCCTCGGAAAACTCAAGGAGGGATCACTATGAGTCGGATCTGACTCAATGGCAAATAATAACAACAATTGATTTTTTTTTTTTTTTTTGAAATAAAAACAGACTGACTTCTACCTATCTAACGTGCTAATCTCATCATTTCTCCCTGAGGGAAGTTGAGGAATTTCCTTTCGATATTATAGGACACAGAAATCTACAGAGTGCTCCTCTAGCCTTTACTCTACTACCACTCCCAGGCCACTTTTCTCTCAAAATTGCCATGTCAGTGGGACAGTCATTCTTCCAGTGCTCTCACACAGGAAATTTGAGTCACTTTTAATCTCCATTTTTGCCTCACTTATTTCTAACCCATCACTGACTGGGCTTGGCTTGCTCTGCAAAATGCCATCAACTAGCCTTCCATGTCTAATCTGGTTCCTGCTCCTCCACCACTCCTGTACATTCATGTCAAATTGCCACCTCTATCATCTCTTCCTTGCTTCCGTTGTTGTCATTAGTTTCTGTTGAGTCAGTATTTAGATTCCCTTGCTTCTAAAAAATAACTCTTACTGACTCTCATGAAAAAACCAGTTGCTGTCTAGTCAGTCCACGATGTGGTTACCCCACGCATGTGAAAGTAAAACTGTGCTCCATAGGGTTTTCAGTGGCAGATTTTTTGGAAGCAAATTGCCAAGGCTTTCTTCCGAGTGATCTCTGGGTAGGCTGGAACCGCCAACCTTTCAGTTAACAGCCAAGAACATTAGCAATTGCACCACCAAGGGACTCCAAAGCCTCCTACTAGTTACTTTCAGCAGTTGTTGTTGTTGTTGTTGTTATGTGCCGTCGAGTCAGACCTGACTCATAGCGACCCCTCCTTGGGTTTCCGAGGCAGTATCACTACGGAAGTAGGATTGCCCAACCTTCCTTCCGAGGAGTGGCTAGTGGGTTTGAACCGCCAGCCGTCTGGTTAGCAGTCAAGTGCCTTAGCCACTATGCTACCAGAGCTCCCAGCAGTATGAGTACATAATTCATAGCTCGTTGGCTTTACCAGTCCAGATTCCCTGCTGTCAAGAGAGCTTGTTCTCCACATCATTGTCCTGCTATGAATGTGTTATTTTTGACCTCATTCCTGATGTCCCCTTCCATTGCTCCCTTAATCTATAAAGCTTGCCATACTGCCTACCAATTAAGCTGAAGTCTCTTGTCCTTAAGGATTTATTAGGTACTCAAGCCCTCATAACCCTCATTTTGTCTTATGTCTCATGACACTTAGAGCCTTTATAATAATTCATTTTGGTGCTACATGATAGTGTTTTTTGCCTTACAATTTAGCTTTTCAGTCTGACATGAACCGTCAGAAAGAGCTGCAGTTAGTAAGATAATAGAGATGGCTCTGTAGTCTTGAAGTTGAAGATGTGGGGATTTGGCTTGGTTTTACCACAGAGAAATAATAGGTAAGAAGAAAATGAGGAACATTTTCAATTGATGGACCTGGAAAGGCAGTCCAGGGGGGAAAGCAAAACCCAAAGATGAAAATGGTTTGTGACAACTTTGAATGTGTTTGTTTAAGACTAGAGTTAAATTGACCCCACCTGTGTAACTATCGCTGCCCATTCATCCACAGGTGATAGGGTCACAATTGTAAGGTGTTATGGATTCCTGGGACCTCTCAGTAAATCTCAAAAAATGAAAAGGATTTTGAGTTAGTTTCTGTGTCTCCCTTCTTCAGATTGATTGATTTCTTTCTTTCTTTCTTTCTTTATATATATATATATATATATATATATATATATATATGTTGTTGTTGTTGTTGTTATGTGCCGTCGAGTCAGCCCTGACTCATAGCGACCCCTCCTTGGGTTTCCGAGGCAGTATCACTACGGAAGTAGGATTGCCCAACCTTCCTTCCGAGGAGTGGCTATATATATATATTTAAATCATTTATATATGTATATATGATTTCCCTAATTATTGAGTTGATATCATTAAAATCTCCACATATAGTATTCACCTACAAAGAACATTGGGTTTAGAATTTGGTACTAAGTTTCAAGGAGCTCTGGTGGCACAGTGGTTAATGGATTCAGCTGCTAACTAAAAGGGCAGCAGTTTGAACCCACTAGCCTCTCCATCGGAGAAAGATGAGACAGTTTGCTTCTGTAAAGATTTATAGCCTGGGAAACCCTATGGGGCAGTTCTACTCTGTCCTATAGTGTTGCTATGGGTCAGAACTGACTGAGTGGCAGTTGTTTTGTTTGTTTGACTGAGTTTCATTGGACTTAATATTTTAAGTGGGTAGGGTATCAGTGACTGTTCTCAAAATGCCTTGACTTCAAGCAATCTGTTGTTTTGCTGTTCCTAATAATTTGCTGGTAGTTTGCTCTATATGGAATGTGAGCAAAGTGAACATTTTGCCCAAAATTAAAAAAAAAAAAAATCTATACCAAGATTCTGGCATTATATTATTCCTTTTAGGAAACAAAGTGTTTAGCAAAAATCTTGAAATTCTCAAGAAAAAATGAAAGATGAGGAGTAATGTACAAGCTATGGTGGAGGGTCTGAGATGAAGCCTGTGGAGAGAAGTTGAAAGAACTTCATTTAACCATGTAGATAAATGGATACAAAGAGTCAGATTTGCTGGGTGGCAAAAGCAGAATGGGTTTCTCCAGGGGCCGAGGAACAACAGATGCAAAAGCATGATAAATTTCATTGCAGCAGGGGGAAAAATGTTTCTGGATCCTGTATCCATAAAGAAATGGACTTCTCAGCGCTTCTCAGTTAAATGGCTTTGATTGTGCTGTCTGTCATAAAGTTAATGGCATCTGTTGAAGACATCACTATAAAATTTGCAACCTTAAGTTAATTGAAAATTTTCAGTAGAATTGTAGCCATTGTGGAAGTCCTCAAGGTAATAGTAAACTTATCCTTCTTGATGTGTTAGTCTGTTCATTTTGCACACAGGTGATAAATTGTTTACCTTTATGGCCAGGTTCTGACTTTAAACTGAAGACTTGCATTCCTTATACCTAATTACAGCTGTCACTTTCATTACAAACCAGTAAATGTGGCAACCAGCTTGCTGTTAAGGACTGGACATACCTTCCTGATTTATTTTTCCATTTTTCAAGAACACACAGGATCAGTTTGCCTTCTTCCCCCTTTTCCTTACTTAAACCACTTACAGCCCCCTCATGTCCTCAGACAATTCAGCCAATCTAATTAAACATGCAAAGGAAAAGCAAGGTGGTCTGGAGAGTCCTGAACTTCCCCTCACCAGCTGCCTGCCAGACTTTCTCAATGATCAGCAGCAGGTTAAGTGGTTTAATCGAGAAAGTAACAAGGCCCCTGAGGAGCTGCCCTCCTTGCAACGAGCGGTCACTGCCCATAGGCCACAGAAAGAGACTACTTTCTGAGCCACGGTTTGACTGGGGCATAGGGAAAACGTGCTCTGCCAGCCTTTGTGTGACAGTGGCTTTTATAGGCTGCCTGGACAGTCACAGTCCAACTGCTTAGGAGCAGAGGGATTGTTGAAGAATGAACAAGGGTAGTTCTCGGATGACATTGAGATGGATTTGTGTCATCCTACAAAGGTGCCCTAACTGCTTTGGTCTCCCCAGTATTTTATGAACAGTTCTGGCACATCTACCAATAAAGTATGCACTTTGGAGTATTTTCATTGTTGTTAGCCGTCAAGTTGGCTCTGAGTCATAGTGACCGTATGTGTACAGAGAAGACTTCCCTGTTCTGTGCCACCCTCACAATCCTTGCTGTGCTTGAGCCCATTGTTGCAGCCACTGTGTCTCAATCCATCTCATCAAGGGTCTTCCCTTTCTTCGCTGACCCTCTACCTTACCAAGCATGATACCCTTCTCCAGGGAATGGTCCCTTCTGTCAACATGACCAAAGTAGATGGTAGGTGAGACGAAGTCTGGCCATTCTCGCTTCCAAAAAGCATTCTGGCTGCACTTCTTCCAGGACAGATTTGTTCTTTCTTCTGCCAGTCCGTGGTATTTTCAGTGCTTTGGAATAGGAATATTTTATTTTTGACACCTCAGACTTCTATTCACATGCCCTAAATTGAAAAATACTAAGTCCCATCCCATATATATATATATATATATATTTGTTGTTGTTGTTATGTGCCGTCGAGTCGGACCCAACTCATAGCGACCCCTCCTTGGGTTTCTAAGGCAGTATCACTACGGAAGTAGATTGCCCCATCTTCCTTCCGAGAAGTGGCTGGTGGGTTTGAACCGCCAGCCTTCTGGTTAGCAGTCGAGTGCCTTAGGCACTAGGCTACCAGAGCTCCATGTTGTTGTTGTTGTTATTTGCCATCGAGTTGGCCCCGACTCATAGCGACCCCTCCTTGGGTTTCCGAGGCAGTATCACTACGGAAGTAGGATTGCCCAACCTTCCTTCCGAGGAGTGGCTGGTGGGTTTGAACCGCCAGCCTTCTGGTTAGCAGTCAAGTGCTTTAGCCACTATGCTACCAGAGCTCCTTCAGAGCTCCATACATTTGTATATTCTTTATTCTATAAATAATAATGTGAATAATGAAGCAGCCGTCAAGTTGTTTTTCCAACTCATAGTGACCCCTCCTTGGATTTCCTAGGTGGTATCTCTGCAGAATTAGACTGCCCAACCTTCCTTACATTCTTTATTCTATAGAACTGAAATATTTGGAGTAATAAATATATGGAGAACTGCTGGTTGGTGGTAGATGTGAATGGGTTATCATATATCCTGTGCACTTGGAAAGCTATGCTGGAACTCAAGAATGCCAGAACCTCATTCTAGATAAAACTGAAACATTGGGAGAGAGCATGTTATGGAAGTGTAAAGAAACTTATTACTAAGGAAACAAAGATTCTGGAAATGGATAATGATACAAAAATATAATCATGTTATAATTTTTTTCCTCTTTCTTTCTGCAGGAAATAGTCCTCAAGATAGTCCAAGGAATTTCTCCCCCAGTGCCTCAGCCCATTTTTCATTTGCACGGAGGTAAGAGCTTCTTGTGGAAGGAGTGTAAAGTGTTATATAGAGTCTCCGGCCTCCTTCTGCTTTATGAGGTCTTGCTCATAATCACATTTGGCCTATAATATGCATGTGGTACTGTGCTCCCACCATGTTGCTGTTAAATGCCGTTGAGTTGGTTCTGGTTCATAGCAACCCTCTATACAACAAAACAAAAAAAACTGCCTGGTTCTACGCTGTCCTTACAATGGTTGCTGTGTTTGAACCCATTGTTGCAGCCACTGCGTCAGTCCACCAGGGAAGGACAATTAAGATATCATCTCTGAGGAACTTACTGAGAGGCCCACACCCTGCTTTTCCCCCAATTCCAACTTTTATTCTTTTAGTTATTCAAGCACTCTAAAGAAAATGTGAGAATTAACTATTCCTGCAAAACTAATATTCATCCAATGAATATTAAATTCACAATGTCATTGCTATTCCAGGTGGGAAAAAAAATTATAAAAATTGATAAACAGGAGCTCACCATAGTCTTTGAAATGCAATTTAAAAAAAAAAAAAAGATGCATTTAATTACTTTTAAGTAATAAGAAAAATGCAAATCTCATTACAGCATGCATTTACATATGACAGAAATCACAGTCTCTTAATCCTGCCAGATTTATAGAAATGAAGAGACTCTAATAATTAAGTGGGTGATTGGAGGACAGATGAATCTGGTTTCTGTGCTATAAAAATACACAAACCCCCAGGCATGTTAATTTTTAACAAATAAACCATAAACCGTGACAGAAGATTATCACAGGAGACCTCTAGTTCATTTTGCATGAATTTCCTGATGGAACTCCCTCCGCACTCTTCAAAAAATACTAATTTCGATTAGGGCAGGAGTGATCCTCTCTTTAAACTTTCACTCAACTAGGTAGAACCCAGTGTTAGTTATGGAAACTCAAATTGATATGCTTTTATTTGATGTCAGAGGTCTTTCTCTTCTTCTTCAGAGTTGATTTGCATTCAGGAAGCGTGGAGATTCCACCCATTCCGTTGCATTTGGTGTGTGTCTCTGAGCCTTTAAGAAGTTGCAACTTCCACATTCCATTATTGTGTGACTTTGGTTCAATAAGGAGCTCTGGTAGCATAGTGCCTAAGGCACTATGGTAACCAGAAGGCTGACAGTTCAAATTGATGGCAAGGAAGTATTGCTGTTTTTAAAATTATCCTTGGGGAGGGAAAGGTCAGGCTTATTAATCTTTACTGATCTTACTTGACCCATGTGATGGTACTACTCCAGTGGACATCTCAGAGCCTGTGATAGTCTATTTACAGATTGGAAAGTACAATGGCGCACACTTGCTGTCTGTGTTTTCTAATCCACATTTTTAGGGTAAAATTATCAAGTTAATTTGTTAATATTGAGTTAAAGTGAAAGGATGGAAATGAGCATAACAGGCAAGTAGACATTTTTTTTTTTTTTCTGGAGCAAGGAAACGTGTTCTCAGTGCTGATTGTAATGCTGAGTTACAACTCATCTGATGGTAGAGTTAATATTTTTTCATTAGTTGTAATTCATAATAGCCAAGTTGATATTGGAATGTTTTATTCTTTATTTGTTGTAGACCCTATTAATCTTTGTATTTTTGTAAGTAGTATTGCAGTGACATTTCACACCAATCCTTTGTGTCCTGTGCTCCCATCAGATGTTTTTTTTCCTTCTTTTTAATTTAACATAACCTTAAGGTTTCCATCTCCAAGGAAAAGTTTCTTCTCAGAAAAGCCTTGTTGCTTTGGCAAGAATGTAGTCTTTTCTTCAGATGACATTTTATTGGTTGCTACTGGAAAGAAAAGAAAACATCATTAGTACGATCCAAATTGCACTTGTGTGATACCTGTCTTGAAAAAAGGGCATGCTCTCTCTTAAGTGCTGTGTATAGCATATGTAGTCAGTTATGGTGTGCAGTTGTCATGGTGATGCAAATGCAATGGTCCTTTGTGCTCCATTTGAGTAAATGGACTAGGACAACTTAGGTAACTTTATGAGACATAGATTATTTCTGGTTCATGCTTGCACAGAATACTGAGAACGCTCTTGTTTAAACATCTTTCTAGTTGTGTGTTTTTCAGAGTAAGCAAATGCAATTTATGCTTCAGAACTAATAAGAACATGTCTCCTCTTGGAATTGTTCACTCATCTGAAGTATGTTCAATGATACCTGAGGGAAAGGAGAGTTAATGAAACACAAAACAAAATCATGGTGGGGAAAATTGTGTCCCTCACTCTTTCCAGAGACTAGTTTATGATAATTGCTATTAAATGGACTGAATAATTCTTTTAAAATCATACACTTTTCTTACTTTTTAAAATTGTTTTAAATATAAAATCAAAAAATTATTTTATGTATTGAATAAGTAGCCAAATAAATTACAAACAACTTGTGTCCATTTAATGTTATTTTTTTTCTTAAATTTCTAACTAGGATTTTAATTGTTTAAAGCCCTTTTTAAAGAACATATAAATTAATTCTCATGGTTCCTTTTTACTGCTGTATTTACATACATCTTATTTTGCTTCTGTTTTTAAACATACTTGATTCAATTGTACTCCAATCATGGCACAGAAATGACAGGTAAATTTTACTAAAATCTTAACATTGTAATGATTCTGTGATTGTCCATTTGAATTTCTCCATTTTGTCTTTGTGGGCCATTCACATTTATTGGAGCCAACAACCATTGTAGCTTTTAACTATATTTCCCTTAAATGTATATTTAGGCTAAAATGTCAGGGTTTTATTGTTTGTTTGTTTGTTTAAAATATGGACCTCTGATTGTAATGTTTCTCAAACTCAAGGCTAATGTTGTTCAGTTCACTGATTTTAACTTACTGTGAATGTGCGTGTGATAAATTTTGTCCACTCTTGTCTCTCACTTGGTAAATTATCATGAATTACAAAAGAAAAATCTACTTTTGTTGTTGCATCTAAGAATGTAACCTAACTCTTTATAAAGTGTGTTTTTCCTGTTTTGTCCCTTGGCAAATTTATGTATGTGTTTTCACAGTGTCATATAATTGTTAAGGTATAGTCTTTCTTGATGTTGCTAGTAAAGAAATTCTTCTGGAATACTAGAAATTTTGCTTTTGTTGTCCCCTTGTTTTAGCAACAGTATTATCTTTACTAATGCATTCATTGCCTCCTCTGAGACTCTTGCAATAACCAAAATTCATAACCAGAGTTCATCTCAGCAGCTCCATTTGAAAATGAAAACCGGTCTCTTCAAGACTCCTGACACTGCCTCTGAGACAGAGCAGACAACTCCCCTCTTTGGGTTAGGGTCTATCACTAGAGGGGAATTTTTTTTCTGTTCCCACTGGCACTGGCCAGAGCTGGGCTGCAAGCTCATAAGCTCAGCAAGAGGCTTTTGCTGTGGCTCTTTGTGAAGCCCAGCCAACTCGGAAGGCAGTAACTCCTAAGGGATTCTGAGCATAAGGCCAGTCACTTTTTTAGTGCAAAAGCTATCTGCCACTTGGGCTTGAGCCCATCATGAGTCCGTTGATCCCTTCATCCCTAGATATGATGAGTAGAACTGTTTCTTTGAAAATAATAAGCACAAAGTCTTGAGGATGCACTGGAAGTCCCCATAGGCTCCTGTACCATACTGTAATCCAGGTCCTTCCCAAGAACATGGGCCCAGGGTATCAGTTTCCAGCTGAGAGTGTTTTTCTTCCTCCCTTTCTGTTTTTATTCATTTGAATCTGCTGAGTCTGACGGTTGTAATTATCCCTGGTATTCATTTTATCAAAGTGTATTAGTGAGAGATCAATAATATGGATCAACCCATTCACTTTCTACTTGTTTGGGTGTATTGATTCAGTTTAAATAAAAGTCAACCTGCTGTATAATGTTTGTTTACCCTGGCCATTGCTGAGCATTCCCACATCGTCACAGACTATGTTTGTGCCATTTGTTTGACTAAAAATACCCGCTTTCCCTGGGGTTCCCATGTAACACTACTCTAGTGCTGGCCTGAGCTAAACTCACTTTCTCAATAGGACTGATGGACGCCGCTGGTCACTGGCATCTCTCCCCTCCTCTGGCTATGGGACAAACACACCCAGCTCCACGGTTTCTGTAAGTGCCTTTTTCTCCTCTCCCTCACCACCACAGAGGTATCACACAGACAAGGATTTTTCCTGGGTGTTTCCTGGTAGGAAAGAGAAGATAAATTCTGCATGTCTGCCACTCCAAATAGGTTACATATCAACTGATGTGCTGACAAACATAAAAAGGACATACTTTCGCTGCAAGCTTTTACACTGTGGTGCATAAATTGAGTAAGTCTCCCGAATTGCAAGTTTGGAGGAGATCGGGAGGAGATTGGGAGCTTTTGCTTTAATACCATTTTGTATAGTTTTGGGAAGAAACGCAGTCTGGTTTTACTGCTTTGGTTCCATGCCAGTAATATCAGTGCTGAAATTGCCATTAAACTTTGATTGCCTGGGTCTTTTTTCTTGTGTGACTTAGATAGAGGGTGTTTTTTGTTGTTGTTGTTTGTTTGTTTGTTTGTTTTGTTTTCCTCCTTCAAAGGAAAAAAATGGTGAGACTTAAACTTATCTTACCTTCTAGGTAAGAACTTTCTATTAGGGGGAACATTAAAAGAACTACTCTTAGTAGAAAGTTAAGGTAAATGAAGAGACAAGATGAAACCATGAAAATAGGATACACGAAGAAGGATACTCTTGCCCCAAACTATAACATTCCAACAAGAGACTTGGCAATTACTGGAAACAACTCAGTTTAGATAAATACTTCATCAGTTTAAATTTGTGATGTTGTGAGCTCGCTGCCTCTGCAGAACTTTAGAAGGCACATTGTCATTTAAAAGGCCTGGTGTGCTGTGGGTGTTCTGGAAGTACTGGTGAGGTGGTCTGCATACTCTTTTTCCATGACAGGGACGTGAACTTGATGATTTTAGGGCCCCTTCTGATTCATTCCCCTCTCCATCTTGTCACAGTCTGTGTTTTATTGTATAGAGCTGCCCATCTATTGTATTTCCTAGCTCTGGTAGCATAGTGGCTAAGACACTTGCCTGCTAACCAGACGGCTGGTGGTTCAAACCCACCAGCCACTCCTCGGAAGGAAGGTTGGGCAATCCTACTTCCGTAGTGATACTGCCTCGGAAACCCAAGGAGGGGTTGCTATGAGTCGGGGCCGACTCGACGGCAAACAACAACAACAACAACAACAGCACTCAGCACTATGCCTAGCATGTCAATTCAGCCACTTACTGATACTTGAATGAAACTACATTTAAATAGATAAACTCTAATGCTACTGTTTTATATTGTGTGTTTCCAGAATTCCATGTGTAATATAGTCTGGGTTTTCTGAAGTACCCTTAAAACCTACTTGTTAAAATCTGTAGATTTATTTTTCACCATTACCTTATATTAAGATGAGGTCATTTATTTTCCTATCTATTATCCCATTTTGTCATGATTTGTAAATTTATTGTCCACTTATGTCATTTTTGAGAGACATCTCAACTACCTTGAGTGGTTTGAGTGGCACATTGGCCTCAAGTCTAGAAGATGTTTCAAAGTCCTGAATGACATCAGTTGAAAAACTTGTCATGAAATAATAATGACGTCTTCTTAAGTTATTGTAGCAGTAACCACCATTGATTTTTGGTCCATTTTTTAGATGTTGAAAATAATGGAAAACCTAGTGTGAGAAAAATGTTGAAATTGATTAACCAAAAAAAAAAAAAAAAAGGCTGAGTAATTTTCTAAGTTTTGAATACAGTTCTTCCTCAGACCCGTGGGTCTGTCTACATAGAATCAAGCAAAGAATAATCAGAATGGTTGGCTGTTTGTTTTGTGGCTTTCCATACATATTCTTATTTAATTCTCCTATGTCAAAATTTTGAATTCAGGTCTCCTGACTCTCTAGTCCTTTTATTTCTCCTGTGTCACCCTGCATTGCTCTTCAGTCAGTTGATCTTGGTTCAATATAGTTTTGATCAAGATCTCTCTTTTGTGAGAGAACTAGGGAAATTCAAGGATCTTTCTTCTTCCCATCTCTAGTAATTCATGCCATTTTTAAAAGCGAATCTATAAAGAAGGGGTGAGCATAAAATCAAACCACATTTGATACAAATACTTTTTGAAAATAATATTTTTTACACACACTTATCATGTGCCAGGGAGCTCTGGTGGCATAGTGCCTAAGGCATTTGACTGCTAACCAGAAGGCTGGTGATTCAAACCCACCAGCCACTCCTCGGAAGGAAGGTTGGGCAATCTACTTCCATAGTCATACCACCTCGGAAACCCAAGGAGGGGTCGCTATGAGTCAAATCGACTTGACGGCAGTAAGTGTGAGTGTGTATCACGTGTTAGGCATTAGTCTAACCACTTTAAATGTATCGACACATTTCATCCTGAAAGTATACCCTATAAGGTAGTTGCTATTGTTTTCCTCATTTTATGGATCAGAAATCTGAGGCGCAGAGATTTCATGGAGAGGGAGCTTGCCAACCTATTTGCTTTATTGATAAGAGTACAGTCAGTAGCCTAGACCTTGGCCTCTAGACTCTTTTTAAGGGATTTACATGTATTTTTTAAAAGAAAACTTGGAATTCAAAGACCTGACCTGGCTGTCTGGCATCATGGAATCATTGCTGCCCCTGGCTTCCAGATGTGCCTAAAAAGACTTCCCAAGATAATTTTTACTGCAACACGTATTCTGTGTTTTCTAACAGCTTTTGACCAGGGACAAGACAACTTTTGTCCTAAGTGTTTATTTTATTGAAGAATGTGGTATCAGATAAGTTAATTTCAATATTCCTTTTTATTTTTAATAGAATGAAAATTTTTAGCCTTCAAATAACCTTTGTTGTCTAAGATGTAAGGAACTATTTAGTTTGTGGACTGAAGATGCCATTACACAAAAGTTGTTATTGATTGTAGATAAAAGTGATGAGTGAAAACGAGAAAAGCTACTGCCCATTTTCTTCGGTTCCTTTGTCAAATACCAGAGCAAAAGTTGTACAGAACTGCTTAGTGGTTGTACTTTCTTTTTTCCCCCTTAAATATAATCTGAATCACTCTTAGATTCTCTTCTCATGAGGTTAATCATTTAGTCAATCAGAGATGCTTTAGTTATTTTTTAGAATAAAAATGTAAGATATGTACCAATAAAATTACAAGCACTTTAAAAATATAGTTTAAATTTCACACATAATTACATTGTTAGTTGAACCCCAGAACTGCTTGTGCTGAAATGTGAACATTATCAGGTCTTTATCCTTTGGATATTAAGGAAACTTCAGGATTGACAAGTGTTAAAAATGCAATATTCTGCTATTGGAAAGATTTGATCTTATGAAGTTAATTAGCTCTCCCATAGAATATTTAGTATTGCAACTTATTTTAACTTCAAATATTATACCTGAAATTAATTTGTGGAACTATTCTAAGATAATACCTATAATTTTAAGATCATAATTTTAATTTGAAAATAAGTTCCTGTGAAATTGCAACAGAACGAAGACATTCCCCCATATATTTTTGATCAGATCAGTTATTCTCTGCTGAGGGAAAGAATGGAAATAAGAATATAAATACCCATAAATGTGAGATATGAGTATAAAATCATATTATTTTTAATAAATAAATAGAAACTTCTGTATTCATATTAATACTATACTTTGCAAGATGGTTATTTTGAAAGACTAAAGAGACTAAATGTTTGTTTGAATGATATCATTACTCAGGACTTTTTTTTTCTTTTTGAACTCTTCTAAGTGCCTTGGGAATTGACAGCACAGGATCTTGTATAAATCTTCATTCTTCGGAAGTCAGTTTGAGTCACAGTGTAATCAAAAGCCATGTGCAAACTAGTTAGATAATGGGACTCTCTTGGAGAACATGTGAAAAAGATAAAGCTAAAGCCTGCCTCCACCCAGCCCCTTCCATTCTCTTTTTCCGCAAGAGAACCCCTCTCCTAATGGCTCTTGGTATTGTTCCCATGTAAGTTACAGGTCCATAATCTCTTATCTGAAACCCGTAAATCCAATTGTATTTTGAAATACATTTTAAGGTTTTAAAAAGGTAACCAGATTCCTATATTGGACATAACAGCCCAACAGCTACAGCTCACAGTCATATATATTAATATTTCTATAGCAAGCTGAATGCACAGTCACACTAAGTGCTGGTAGTGGTATTGATAGGTGCCATTGAGTCAGTTCCAACTCATAGTGAGCTTATGTACAGCAGAACAAAGCAATTGCCTTGCATCATCTTCACAATCATTGCTATGTTTGAGATCATCATTGTAGCTACTGTGCCAATCCATCTTGTTGAGGGTCTTCCTCTTGTTCACTGACCCTCTACCTTACCATGCATGAAGTCCTTCTCCATGGACTGCTCCCTCTTGATAACATGTCCAAAGCACATGAGGCACAAAGTCTTGCTTCTCGCTTCTAAGGAACATTCTGGCTGTACTTCTTCTGAGACAGATTTGTTCATTATTCTGGCAGTCCCTGGCATATTCAGTATTCTTTGCCAAAACCATAATTAAAGACATCAGTTCTTTGCTCTTCCTTATTCATTGCCCAGCTTTGGCATACATATGAAACAATTGAAAATAGCATGGCTTGGGGTTGCATGGGACATCAAGCTCAAGTGACATAACATACTACACAAAAACATTGTTCTGCATCCTAGTTTGTGAGTAGCACTTGGGGTCTTACAAGGTTGCAAGTGGCCATCTAGATAGAACAGTTAGTGTCTCCTTATCCAGAGCAAGGAAGAATGAAGAAAACCAAAATGCATGGGAACAATAGTCCAAGGGACCATGTGAACCTCAGTCTACATGAGCCTGAGACCAGAAGAACTAGATGGTGCCCAGCTATCACTATCAACCACTGGAAAAGGAATCAGTGCAAGAGATCCTGGGTAAAGTAGGAGAAGGATATAGAACAAAACTCAAAATCATAAAAAATACCAGGCTTACTGGTCTTTATAGAAACTGGTGAAACCCCCAAGACTGTGGCCCCTGGTTATCCTTTGGGCCTAGAACTGAAATCACTCCCATGGCTTCCAACCAGACAAGAGATAGGCATATAAGATGAACATTTACACTAGGTAGGTACACTCCTTAGAACAATCAACCCTGGGAGATCAGAATGACAGTATTTGCACAGGGAGATAGCTCATAAGGCAGGAGTGTATAGGAAAGAAGGACAGAAGAAAGGGGTGAGCACAGGGAGGAAGTGAGAAGAGAGCTATTACATTATGGGGATTGCATTCAATGTTATGAAACAGAGTATATATGAACTCCTCTATATGGAAAATGAAGTTCGTCTGTAACCTTTACTCAAATCACAGTTTAAAGAAAGAGAGAAAGAAAATACCATGGCTTGGGTCAGGCACACTTTAAGTCCGTAAAGGGTCATCTTTTCTTTTCAACACTTTAAAGAGATCTTTTGCAACAGATTTGCCCAATGCAATATGTTGTTTGATTTCTTGACTGCTGTTTCCATGGGCATTGATTATGGATCCAAGTAAAATGAAATCCTTGAGAACTTTAATATTTTCTCCATTTATCATGATGTTGCTTACTGGTCTAATTGTGAAGATTTTTGTTTTCTTTATGTTGAGATATAATCACTAAGTAGACTAAATAAATACTTTAAATAGCTTTCCATCAGTTCAGATGATGTTTTGCCATGAAAAGAGATTACTGCAAATTTATGAACAAATTTATAAAATTAGTAGGTCTGGGTTTTGGAATCTTGGATAAGAATTGTTGTTGTTGTTGTTATTTGCTGTCGAGTCAGCCCCGACTCATAGCGACCCCTCCTTGGGTTTCCAAGGCAGTATCACTACGGAAGTAGGATTGCCCAACCTTCCTTCCGAGGAGTGGCTGGTGGGTTTGAACCGCCAGCCTTCTGGTTAGCAGTCAAGTGCTTTAGGCACTATGCTACCAGAGCTCCTGGATAAGAATTAGGGATATTTATTTTCCTTTGGGACATATGTGCAGATTCTTAATTCTGTTTTTCTAGATTAGATCACCTTTTTCTTATCTCTGTTTTATCAACACTACCATATTATTCACAAATAATGTGCCCATGTGTATAACACATATAGTGTACCTAGGAAATAATGCACAAGAGAATTGCACGGTTAGTATAAACATATAATGAACATGTTATATGTGTAAAAACACGGTACTTTATTCCTGCTTGTGTTTTTAGTGTATTATTCTTTCCTTGATTTCTTGAGTTGACTGCTTAATTCATATATTTTATTTTATTTTTTCATATTGAAAGTATTTGAGACTTTCTGAATAGAACTTCAGTTGTATCTCATAACTATTTCCAGGAATGTTCTCATTTTTACGGTTTATAAGATAATCGCATTACATTCTAAAATTCCTCTCTTTGTCTTAGTATATACTTAATAAGGTATTTTATAATTTCATGGTATAGGGATATTTTTAAGCTTCAGTCATTAATTTCTAGTATTATTGCATTGCAGCACTTTAGTATTTATGAAGTATGCTTTTAATGTAATCTTTTTCCTTAAGAAAAGCCTACTAACCTGACATTTTCAAATGAGTGCTATCTTTCAAAATATGTTTATTCTCACCATGTTTCGATTACTCAGTCTCTTTTCATAGAACTGTGAGTTTATGTCCCACAAAAATCAAAACAGAAAAAGTTTCTATGCTTTATATATCTCAGACTGATGAAAAGCAGTGCTATTTAACCTTTCCCAATTTGTACCTTATCTTTCTCAAGTGTCAAGTGAAGTTTTCAAAAAAACAAATCTATATCCAAGGGATAGCTGTTCAAAAAAAAAAAAAAAGAAAGAAAGAAAGAGAGAGAGAGAGATATCCCAGTGAAAAAAGGAAAGGGAAAAATACGATTTTTTTATGTTATCAAAAAGTCACAGTGTTTGAGTGTAAGCAGCAGTAGAAGCACGGATACTATACTCAGTTGCAAACTAGTACGTGATTTAATGCACCTGAATTCTCACCCCAGCAGTCACTTTATTGATTTGGCTTTGACTGGGCACTATCCATTTTCTGAGCCTTGGTTTCTCCAGAGAAGACACTATCATTTCAAAAACTATCTTATAGACAAATGAGAAGAAGTATGGAAGACATTCTGACCTCTCAGAAAGAACATCAGGTTATACATTTAGGCAGTAGTTACTATGGATATAATTTGAAAGGACATAAAATGGTGGAATTATCCAAGTTTAGTTCTTTGATTTCATACTTACTTGACAAAGTTCTTTTCAAGGCAGTTTATAACCTCACTTTGGTTTGTTGTAGTCATCCTGTTCCTCCCAGGAGAAGTTGCATCAGTTACCATACCAACCAACGCCAGATGAATTACACTTTTTATCGAAACATTTTTGTACCACCGAAAGCATTGCCACTGAGAACAGATGCAGGAACACACCGATGCGCCCCCGTTCCCGCAGTCTGAGGTATGTAGACCTGACCACAAGCTGCTATGTAGTTGGATTGTCTGTTTTCACTGATAATGAGGGAATAATTTGAGCCCTCTAATTCCTGTATGATAGTAGAAAGATGTGGCAGTCTGCTTCCCTAAAGATTAAAGCTCAGGAACCTATGGGGCAGTTGTACTCTGTCCCATAGTGTTGCTATGAGTTGGAATTGACTTTATAGCAACGAGTAATTCATGTAAATGACATTAATTGACTTGTAAACTACTGTAAATTTAGTAATGATTTTGTTTTCATTTACGTATTATTAATTACTATAGAAAGGCATCTCCTTTTCTTTACTTTTAGATCCTCACACTTTGCTAATTACTGTAGCAGCAACATTCATGTTGGCCTTAAGGGGCCACCTATAAAAATTCTAGCCATTGGAGCTTTCAAGGCATTCTAATTAAGGTGTAGGAGTAGTTAATATTCTTAATTTACGTTGAGAGAATGTGGTTGAAAGGAAGAACAGCATAAATAGTTTGTTTATTTTTCAGATTATGCATTATAAAAGTCCACTCAGATGTTTTATTCTTTCTTTTAGTCATAAATCTTTCTCTGGAATTATGAATAAGTTTTGAGGTGTTTATGTTCCCTGACTATTGTCAGATGCCAAATGTAGTCCGTTTGACATAGAGCTCTAGTGGAGCAGTGGTTAAGGCATCTGGCTGCTGACCGAGATTGATGGTTGAACCCACCAGCTATTCCATAGGAGTAAGATGAGGCAGTCTGCTTCCATAAAGATGAACAGCCTTGGAAACCCTATGGGGCAGTTCTGTTCCATCCTGCAGGGTCACTATAATTCAGAATTGACTCAATGGCAGTGAGTTTTGTTTGGGTTTAGGGCTAGTTTTGACTTGATCTTATTTCAAATAATATGTATCACAGTTTGACTCCTCAGGAGGTAGACTCTAGAATACAGATTAATGTTCAGGATGTTATTATAAAGTTCTTTTGGGATCAACACCTATGGAAGAAAGAGAAGAAACAGGATTGGGCTGAGAGAGAAGTTAAGCTGACACAGGCCCAACAACCTCAGCCAACTCCACAGAGGTCTGTCTCAGGTGCCCGTGTCTTGTCAGCGTTGTCCCTCTGGGCTAAAACGGCCTGGCCTTTATATCCCTGCCTCCATTATTGGATCCATCATTGGATAGGCAAAGGCCTGAGTTTGGGAAACGTGGCTCGATTCAGCAGAGGCAATCCTTGAAGAAGCCGAGAGCTAAAGATATCTGCCAATACCAAGGGCTAGGCCACAGATCTTTCCTGAAGGGGAATTAGGGCAATGCATTGCTTTGTCGACCGCAATATGGATATTGATGCTGTTGAAATGGAGCACTTTGCCTATATAAAGGTTTTGTTTGCTAAGTGTTCAGTCGAATATCAGAGTCTCTGTTTTGTTTGTTTTATTTTGGACCTTTCTTCTTTATTTAGTATCATAAGCTGATACTAAACATAGCCATATTGGATAATTGTGGGATGTCTTAGATTCTCCCAGTATGTGGAATAAAAGATCAATTTTACTACTTCAACTAGAGGCGCTGTGTTTGACTACACATCTCCTGTTTTGGATTTTATGAAAGGAGTTCCTGGGATATCTACTGCAAGCCATATCCTTCCAAGAATATATAATATTCACACTGAAACTGCACAACTATTTATACTACTAGAAACTGACACAAGCCTACTATAGAAATGAAGAAAGAAAAATCCACAATGCTTGTATGCTTCTGTTTCATATTATACATAATGCCTATCTCAGCATCTCAAATAAGTATAGACTAGAAAATGGATTTCAATTATTATGTCTGTGCCATGAAAGATGCTTAAACCTCTTCACTGGTGTGTGGCAGAGTGCAGGTGTATGATAAAAGTGTGAAATCATACTGTTAAATGTGTCCAAGATATTGTTGTTTGCATTAATGTTTGTAGCTACCTATTTTGTTTTATACTGGAATTCATTAATTGGTTTCCAGAAGTACACAAACTCATCCTAAATGTAGAATAAAATCTCAGTTTAGGAACATTTTGTGTACCCATTTTGTGTTGCATCAGTAATTATTTTGTGGCATTCCACTTCTTAAACTTTCTTTTTTAATCCTATTCAGGGTATTTCTGTTTGTGGGTAAGTATGTGTACATGTATACTAATGACTGATTTTGTAGTTTATTACTCAATATACTCTTTCATATGAAGATTGCATAGTACTTTAGATGCAACTGATTGTTGACAAATAAAAAGCTTATTCTCATTCCATGCTGTGACAAGTTTAAAAGGGTAATTTGCTTTACTTGCAGCCCTGGACGTTCTCCTGCCTGCTGTGACCATGAAATAATTATGATGAACCATGTCTACAAAGAAAGGTTCCCAAAGGTAATGATTTGAATTTAAGATGCCTCACATTGAAAGGAATAGGCAACATAGGTTTGGAGTCAGTAAGATGGTTTTGTTATGGGAAATAATGGTACAGTGCAGTAGTAACTGGCATAAAACAGCACCAGGGCCTTTTTAGAAAGATAAAATCATGAAGGTTTCTAAACTAAAAACTGCAGAGAACTAGCCATTGTCTGTGTACTGAACTGGCTGTCACATGAACCCAGCTGTTGGGTGCCACACACCAGGTGGCCTCTTGAGGTATTACACAGAGGATCTCCTTTGATAGGCCTCTGGGCCATCCATGCTCCTTGTCGCCTCTGGGCCTGCTGCTGTGCTATCAAGCACAGGCTGTTTTCTCCCTCAAAAGTCTATAGTTTTGGCGTGTCATAGATGATTTTTAAAAAAAAAAAAAACTCATTTTTCTTTTCTGTGACTTCCCATCTCTTTAGCCATTATATTTCTAACTCTGATTTTTCATTACCTTACAAGTGAAGGTACACTCATCCTTTCCCCAGTTAGGGTGTCACAGGGAAGTTGAATTGAACCAGAGAGGAATTTGTAAAAGGGTAATGTCAGACCCCCAGCTGCACGGAGTTGCTATCTGTTAGTCCCCATCACCTGCCTCCACATCTTCCCATCCAAGTGTCTGTACACATTCGTGGGAAGATAATCCCTCCATATTGTTCCTGTTCCCCATTCCCCTACCCTTTGTGCCCTAGGCAAGAGAACAAAAGGAAATCATTGCTTTCATAAATCAGGAGTAGAGTACTTATTATTTATAATGAACCCAACATTGATGTCATTGATTAAAGATGTTTTAGCTATTTATCACATGTCACTTGTTCACTGGGGACACAGATACTGATTATGCTTAGTTAATGCTGGTTAGGGTTTTAGAAGGGGCAGGCAAGTGGGGAGAGGGAGAGAGAATCTTCCTGCATATATAATTAATTTAAGCAAGGAGTAGTATAATTAGGCAATAGACGATTACTAAGAAGCAAATGAAAGTAGAAAAGGGAATTATAGACTTAATTTACCAAGGGGATCCTCTTGGCTTTTACACATGATAGAGCTCCCCCACCAAATTATTCTTTTTGGCCATATTGTTTATTTAATTTTAAAATTTTTATGGCAAAATATACATGATAAATAGTTTGCCATTTTAACCATTTTTATGTGTACAGTTCATTAATTACATTCACCATGTTGTGCATCACCACTAGCCATCCTAACAGTTTTCATCACCCCAAACAGAAAACTCAACCCAAACAGAAAATCACTACCCCTTCAGCAGTAATTGCCATTCCCTTCTCTTTCCCCCGGGTAACTAACAAACTTTTGTCTCTATGCATTTGCTTCTTCTAGCTATTTCATATAAATATTTACCCTTTTTTGTCTGACTTATTTTAATTACAAATTTTTCAAGGTTCATCTATGTTTTAGCATGTATCAGAACTTCATTGTTCTTTATGGCTGAATAATATTCCATTATATATATATATGTATGTATATATATGTGTGTATGTATATGTATATGTGTGTGTATGTGTGTGTGTATGGCCCTGGCACAGTGGTCAAGTACTCAGCTGCTAAATCAAAGGTCAGCAGTTCAAATCCAGCAGCCACTTCATGGGAGAAAGATATGGCACTCTGTTTCCATAAAGATTTACAACCTTGGACCCTATGGGTCAGTTCTACTCTGTCCTATAGGGTCACTATGAGTCAGAATTGACTCTACATCAGTAGGTTTGGTATGTGTGTGTTTATCACATTTTATTTATCTATTGATAGACACTTGGTTGTTTCAACCTCTTGGCTATATGAATAATGCTGCAATGAACATGGGTGTATAAGTGTCTGAGCCCCCACTCTCAAGTGTCTTGGGTATCAACCTAGTATTAGAATTGCTGGGTCATATGATAATTCTATGTTTACCTTTTTAAAACACTGCCAAACTGTTTTCCATAGCAGCTGCACCATTTTACATCCCCACAAGCCATGAACAAGAGTTCCAATTTCTCCACAACCTTGGTAACACTTGTTTTCCATTTTTCTGATAATAGCCACCCTGTGGATATGAGGTGGTCATGATACAGCTTTCTGAGAAAGAAAGAAAGAACATACAATTGCTTGCTTATGATACGTCGAGACCTAGCCGAGAAAATAATCTTGGTTTACCCTATAGACTCTAGCAAGTCATAATTTTTTAGTAGGCAAAAAGATAAACAACTAATTGATACTTTTCACAGTCTACCTGAAAGGGCTCAGATCTGAAAGGAAAGCATACCAACTCACAGGTATTGTGTGAATTATTCAAAAGAGCTTAACATGGATTGTTTCACATTTGATACAAAATAGGGAGAAAAAGTGATTATCATCTTGAGATAGTCAGTTTCCTTATGTACCTCAAAACTTCCTTCCATGTTATAGAGCTCCTTCTGAGTTTAATTTCTAGAATTCTATTTACCAATTGGTGAAGGTCTTGGACACTGCTAGGTAAGTGTGATGATTTAATTGTCTACAAATGTGTTTCCTCATATCACATCTGTGTGTGTATGTGTCTCTTCTCTAAATAGGCTACAGCTCAGATGGAAGAACGTCTAAAGGAAATTATCACAAGCTACTCTCCTGACAACGTTCTTCCTCTAGCAGACGGTGTGCTTAGTTTTACTCACCATCAGATCATTGAGCTGGGCCGAGATTGCTTGGATAAATCCCACCAGGGTCTCATCACCTCTCGATACTTCCTTGAATTACAGCACAAATTAGATAAGTTACTGCAAGAGGTATGAACCGTGCACCTTGTAAAGTTCTATGGTTTGTTTGGTTTACCCTGAAAAAAAACAAAAAAATTATGAGGACATTTGCTTAAAGTTGTTACCATGAACTGGAGTTTATATTCCAGGAAAGCAAAGGGGAAAAAAAAATGATGGTTACGTGCTATAAATTGATTCTGGCCATTATTTATAGTAATAGAAAGTTAATGTAATAACCTTTATAGGAACCTTGGGGCCTAACAATCTATGACTGTAGGATAAGTGGATTGTGAAGGATTTTGAAGCTGTGATTTTTTTTTCCTCCTCTAACCATAAAGTTATAAATTGCCTGAATGTATATACATTATTTGATGATGCTATCTAGTTCTAATATCTGGAAGAGCTAAATGGAAAATTGCTGGCTTCTTCCAGACTGTGTGTCCTATTAATTAACCTGCAAGGTGTTGGGTAGTAAATGGCAACTTATATTTTCATTAGTGTCAGTTCTTCTTCTAACAAAATATCCAATTTCCAAAACGACAGATAAACACAGGACCTGTCTAGGCCCAACACTTGTATGCATAGCTCCTGATAACACCCAGGACACGAAGGGAATGTGTGTGGTAGAATGGGATCAGTGTATAATATTACCCTTCTGCCTGACATTAATCAACCACAGCCTACAAGTAAAACCTATTTAGCCTGTATATTTAGATATATTGTAATTTTTATCTCATAGGGGATAAAATATGCCCATATAAACATCATCGTAGGTGGTTTTCTCTAAGCATGGATATGTAAATAATTGCACAGAACTGAAGAAAAATACTAGCCTCCTACTTTTCTACAAATCCCTTTGTCCCTGCCCCTGCTGAATTTTGTTCTCCCAAGATAAAAAGACCCCCTTTAGTTAGCAGCCAGGATTTTTCTTCCCTTCCTCAGCCTTATTTCCCAACAGAGTTTTCTATACTCTGTCCTCATATCTTACATTTCAACCTACTGCTGGCCGCTAAAGCTGTGCTTCTCAGACTATCCTTGCCGGTAAACACATTGGTTTATTTTTGTTGTTGTTGTTGCTGTTGTTTTTAATATTCACTTTGCCATGTATCATTTCTCTTCTAAACTAAAATGAAAATAAGTTTTCTAGAAAAATGAGCACGCCTTCTAGTGTTGTGGCAGTGTAAAATTGCTTTGTTTTTGTTGTTATCAGCTGCCCTTAAGTCAGTCTCCAACTCATGGCGACCCCAGGCATAATGGGATCAGACCATTCTAATCCACTGGCTGACTCTCAGAAGTAGATTGTATGGTCTTTCTTCCTAGCCTGTCTTAGTCTGGAAATTCTGCTTAAACCTATTCAGCAACATACAAGCCTTCAATGACAGATGAGTAATGGCTGTGTTAAAGGTGCATTGGTGGGGAATCTAACCTAAGTCTTTTCTATGGAAGGTGAAACTACCACTGTGAACCACCACTGCTCTCACCAAATTGCTATAAAAGTTTCTAAGTGCTTATTCTCAATATTTCTAATTCCCTCATTACAGACTGATAATAGTTCATGGAGTGCCACCAGTCTTAGAACCACATATTGAGTAGTGGGTCTGTTGTTGTTGTTAGGTGCTGTCGAGTCATCTCTGACTCATAGCAACTCTATGTACAGCAAAGCGAAACACTGTCCGGTCCCGTGCCAGCCTCACAATCATTGCTATACCTGAACCCATCGTTGGAGGCACTATATCAATTCATTTCATTGAGGGCCTTCCCCTTTTTTGTTGTCCCTTCAGTTTACCAAGCATGATACCCTTCCTCAGGAAATAGTCCCTTCTGAAAACATGACCAAAGAAGGTTAGATGAAGTCTGGCCATTCTTGCCTCCAAGGAGCATTCTGGTTGCACTTCTTCCAGGACAGATATGTTAGTTCTTTTGGCAGTCCACGGTATTTTCAGTATTCTTTGCCAACACCACAACTCAAAATCGTCAACTCTTCTTCGGCCTTCCTTATTGATTGTGCAGCTCTCACAAGCATATGAGACAATTGAAACTACCATGGCTTGGGTTAGGCACACCTTGATCTTCAAAGAGTTATCTTTGTTCTTCAGCACTTGAAAGAGGTCTTTTGCAGCAGATTTGCCCAGTACAATACGTCTTCTGATATCTCAACTGCTGCTTCCATTGGTGTTGATTATGGAACCAAGTAATATGAAGTCTTTGACAACTTCAATATTTTCTCCATTTGTCATGATGCTACTTATTGGCCCAGTTGTGAGGATTTTCATTTTCTTTATGTTGAGATGTAATCCATAGTGCACACTGTTGTCTTTAGTCTTCATCAGTGTTTCAAGTCGTCCTCAGTTTCAGCAAGCAAAGTTGTGTTGTCTGCATATCGCAGGTTGTTAATGAGCTTCCTCCAATCCTGATGCCATGCTCTTCTTCACATAGTCCAGCTTCTCTATTTGTATTTCCTCAGCATACAGATTGAATAAGAATAGTGAAAGGATACAATCCTGATGCACTGCCTTCCTGATTTTGAACCATGCAGTATCCCCTTGTTCTGTTCGAATGACAGCCTTCGTGGTCTATGTACAGATTCCTTGAGCACAGTTCAGTGTTGTTGAATTCTCATTCTTCTCAACATTATCCATAATTTGTCATAATCCACACAGTCAAATGCCTTTGCATAGTCAATAAAACACAAGTAAACATCTTTCTGGTACTCTTTGATTTCATCCAGGATCCATCTGACATCAGCTGTGATAACCCCCCTTCCATGTCCTCTTCTGAATCCAGCTTGCATTTCTGGAAGTTCTCTGTCACTATACTTTACTTGCATGTGATATTAATGAATATTGTTTAATAATTTCCATATCCTGTGGGATCACCTTTCATTGGAATGGGTACAAATATGGATCTCTTCCAGTCAGTTGGCCAGGTAACTGTCTTCCAGATTTCTTGGCATAGATGAATGAGTACCTCCAGCATGACATCCATTTGTTGAAACCTCTCAGTGGCTGTTCCATCAATTCCTGGAGCCTTGTTCTTTGCCAATTCCTTCACTGTAGCTTTAACTTCTTCCTTCAATACCATTGGTTCTTGATCATATGCCACCTCCTGAAATGGATAAACATCAACCAGTTCTTTTTGTTACAGTGACTCTGTGTATTCCTTCCATCTTCTTTTGATGTTTCCTACATCATTCAATATATTGCCCATAGAATCTTTTAGTATTGCAACTCAAGGCTTGAATTTTTTTCTTCAGTTCTTTCAGCTTAAGAAATGCCAAGTGTGTTCTTCCCTTTTGGTTTTATAACTCCAGGTCTTTGCACATTTCATTATAATAATTGACTTTCTCTTCTTGACTTGCTCTTTGAAATCTTCTGTTCAGCTCTTTTATGTTGTCATTTCTTCCATTTGCTTTAGCTACTCTCTGCTCAATGGCAAGTTTCAGAGTCTCTTCTGTCATCCATTTTGATCTTCTCTTCTTTTCTCATCTTTTTAGTGACCTCTTGCTTTCTTCATGGATAATGGTCTTGATATCATCGCACAGTACTTCTAGTTTTCAGTCATTGGTGTTCAGTGCATCAAATCTTCTTTAGATGATCTCTAAATTCAGGAGGGATATAATCAAAGTCATGTTTTGGCTTTCATGAACATGTTTTAATTGTCTTTAGCTTCATCTTGAACTTGCATATGAGGAGTTGATGGTCTTTTCCACAGTCAGCTCCTGGCCTTGTTTTGGCTGAAGATACCAAGCTTTTCCATCACCTCTTTCTACAGGTGTAGTTGATCTGATTCCTGTGTACTCCATCTGACGAAGTCCATGTGTATAGCTGTTGTTTATGTTGTTGAAGAAAGGTATTTCCAATGAATAAGTCACTGGCCTTGCAGAATTCTGTCATACAAAATCCAACATTATTTCTATCACCAAGTCCATATTGTCCAACTGCTGGTGATTCTTCTTTGTTTCAGACTTTTGTATTCCAATCACCAGTGATAATCAGCACATCTTGATTGCATGTTTGGTCAATTTCAGATGGCAGAAGTTGGTAAAAATTTTCAATTTCCTCATCTTTGGTTTGGTGGTGGGTGTGTAAATTTGAATAATAGTGTTAACTGGTCTTCCTCCTAGGTGTATAGATGTTACCCTATCACTGACAGCACTGTACTTCAGGACAGATCTTGCAACACGCTTTGTGACAATGAATGCAATGCCGTTCCTCATCAATGTTTCATTCCCAGCATAGTAGACCATATGGTTGTGTGGTTCAAAATGGCCAGTCCATTTGCCAAAGGGGCAGGGAGACACCATCTTCTGACCTCCTCTTACCCCACAAGAGGAAGACAAAATCGCCATCAGTAGCTTAAGGCCTATTCTTGTGAGGCCAGACATGCTGCCTCCCTCCAACCCCTTCACCCACCTTGACACCAACCCTTCCTCCCACAGCACCCACCACCTGTCTGCTGGGTTTGATAATTTGCTGCAGTGGTCACACAGAACTTCCAGATTATGAGGTTTATTATGGAAGCAACAGGCTACAATTAAAGTTCAAGAACACACTCAGTCTCTCTCAGCCCTCTGTCTCTTATTCGACAGTCTCTCTCCTAACAATATGTGTCTCTTGGTATCTCTCTCAGCATTGAATGTCTCTCACATCTCTCAGCTGGCAGTGAGAGATTCCTTCTGCCTCTAGGAGGGTTCCTTTTGAGCCTGGCAGAGTGGCCAAATTAACCAATCCCAACATCAGAATTCTATACATCTTGAGAGAGAGAGAACTTCCCAGAAGATTGCTTCATGCCACTCACAACAGAAATACCCCAGCTGGATAACTTTAACAATCAGTAGCTACTGAGTTGCTCATGGCAAATTCCACCGTGGAATTTACAAAGACTTATGACTAGAAAAGCCCCACTGTGTGATTTACTATACCGTACCATTTCAGCTCACTAATGCATAGAATATCAATCTTTATGTATTCCATTTCCTTTTTGACAACTTCTAATTTTCCTAGGTTCATACTTCATACATTCCATGTTCC